TTTTTTATTTATTATTTTATGTGTATGCATGTATTGCCTGCATGTAGGTAAGTGCACCCATGTCGTGCAGTGCCCACAAAGGACAGAAGAGGCTCTCGGATCCCCTGGAACTGGAGTTACAGAGAGTTGTTAGCTGCCATGTGCTGGGATTCAAACCTGTGTCTTCTTCAAAAACAGTCAATGTTTTTAACCACTGAGCCATCTCTCCAGCCCCTGTGAGCTTGATTTTTAACTTAATTAGAGCAACTCAGCAAATATCCAAGCAGTTGTGGGGAGCTGACATGAACATATGGAATTCTAGAAATATGCACTTGTGTGTCATGAGCACACCGACACTATTTAAAGATGAGTGCAGAGAGACAGAGGAAAGGCACAGAGAGTAGTCTGTGAAATTGCTAACAACCAGAGAACTGAAAAATGGAAAAGAAATAGTAATGGAGACTAGGAAGTGGAAACTAGAAGAACGAAAAGTACCTCAGAAGAATATAATGTCCTGGTAGACAAATAAGGAATGTGCTTTTGAAAAGAGAGGAAGTAGCTGTGCCAGAGGATAGAAATGGGAGAGAACAGAAGACTCCACAGGCTCTGATTTGCAGAACCAGACTATTACAAAAGTGGAAGTCTGTGGGCATTCTCTTCTGCTTACTTCAGTTTTGCTTACTGTTGTATGAGGCTAACAAAATGAAGTTCTCTAAGAAATTTAAAGTATAATTGTAACCTAGTATCAGGAAGTAAGATAAATCACCACAGACTGTCAGGCAGTACTATTGGCAGACTTAAGTTTAGTGATTATGAACCAGAAGTCAACATAATCACTGCTGCCACACGCAGGAGAGTGGCATTGTTTTACTTTACCCCAACCTGATTAGTTCATGAGATCCAAGTTCTTTACCTTCATGGAGCTCTACTTTTTAAAAATTAGGTTTTTTCTCATCTCTCTTGCCCTGGGAATGCTAAGCTCTTAAAACTATATTTTGTATATTATTCATCTTGATAATTCCTTAGAACAGTTCTTGGCATACTGGATCTTTTCAATACGTGATTGCTGGGCACATGAGTGGATGTGTGCAATCATATGGTTACCAATACTCTATGCTGGATTCTTAGATCTAAATGACTCCTGATTTGACAGGAAGGTCACTTTAAAAAAATCTCACTTAGGTAATCCAGAGTTTCATTAGTTACAATGCTCATTAAGGTATGCTGTAAACAAGACTATCTAATAGTCTTGGGAGAGCGTATATGCATTTATATGGTTTATATGCATTTTTATTTGTTGTAACATGATTGACCTAAAATTTATTTCTATTTAAACTGAAATCTATTTCTTCAACAGAATTTTCCATATTTATCTCTGCATAGCCCATCCTAAAATGTTATCTATTTAAAAATAGATTTTTTTCCACATTCACAGTACAGCCTTACGGCTATAAATAAAATCAGATAATTTATTTCTCTTTATGTATTTCTATTATGAAGTCAGGTTTTTATGGCTGGTGCAACACATTTTTAAACACCAAGTTTATTCTCTGCATATTTTAAATGTATGGGCTCATTTGTTCAAAACAATATCAGTTAAATTGTCAATGAAAATAAAAATTAAAGATGATTTCTTTGTGTCTGCTGTTCTGGTTACTTCAAATTACCTTTGTTATAGCATCAGTTAATATCAATACTATTTAAAGGTGGGAGGTGGGGTGTGGCATCAGGAGAACACCTAATAGGTGTAGTATACTTTGTTTAAATTTTTTGTTGTTATATTTAGGGATCTAAGAATTGATAAATATCCTGTTAAATAGCTCTGGGTATTAATGTCAATTTATGTCTCATGGTATTTTCTAATAACCCAAAGACTAGGAAATGGAAAAAGACAAAATAATAAAACTTTTAAACACTGATAATTAAAATCTCCAAAAAATTTACTTACCAAGTATTTTTTATTTACATGGAAGTAGGTTTTCCTATTTGAGCACATTGATAAAACGAGGCAAAAAAACACTTACTCTATTATATAGTACACTTGAATAATAGTGCACTGTAAGTATCTTAAGGTACGCATTTCCTATCACTTCTATTAATCCCAAATGCCATCAACCAATACTACTGTCAATTATTTTTGACTTGCATTACCCCCAGAAAAGATTAGATAAGCTAAAAAATACATCTTCTAGTGCTAATGGTGTTACTGTAAAAGATAATTACATATGTATTTTAAAGCTATCTTAGAAAATCATAAAATCTAAATTCATACAATAAGAGTCTATTATACATATTGACAAAATATATACAATCTTTATTTTTACATAATATTGTTAGTCAAGTTTTCATTTACAGTAAAAACAGCAGGTAAAATGTAGAAAGAACCTGGAGTTATCCATCTGGCACATATTTATACATATATTTGCTCACTGTAATACTTACAGGACTTCAATTATACATTTCATATACCTAGTATATCCACATTGAATAATTTTAAAATGTTTGGCTGATGTTTTAATTTTATTAAGAAAAAAAGAGATCACCAAAAGTGCCTTAAATAGTTTTTGGATCCCATCTTATTCATGACTCACCTTGGTCCTTGCCAGCAAGGGAGCACCCCGTTCCAGCAGAAGTTCTACCACTTGGTCATGCCCACTTCGTGCAGCACAATGAAGTGGTGTCAACCCATCCTGGCAAAAGAATTGAAGAATTAAGCTGAGATCAGTCCTTTTTCCAAAAAAATACCAAGATTTCACCTATTACCACTGAAAAGAGAGAGCCTTCTAAACTTGATCCTGATGATCCTAGAAAACATTGAAATATGTATTTTAATATTTTATGCATAAACCTCATATAGAGTATCTCCACATGTAAATAAGTTTAAAACAAATATAATAATGACCTTAAGAAAACCTGAATTAACAGTATCATTTTAACTAGCTAAACGTTAGAATCTAATGAGGATTTTTAGACATCAACAAGGGGTGCTGGTTAAAATATCTCAGAATTTCACACTATAATCTAGTCAATAATGAGAATGCCAACAAGAGGCAAAACGTCTCAACATTTTAAATGATTGTTAAATCAGTTAAAGATATAACAATCATTAAGATTGTTAAATGAAAGTAAAGTAAAAACTGAAGGGAAGATTTATTTTTTATTTAATCAAAAGCCTTTATAAATTTCACCTTTCTCCAGATAATGAAAACCACAAATATGAGAAAAAATAATGAGAAGATCCAGGGAAAACTCATAACAGAATACACTAAATTCTGATTATTTGTGGTTAACTTGATTTCTAGAAGTAATTACAAGCTCTGTAATAAAAGGAGTAACATTTACTTTAATATTCCACACACAGAAACCCTATTGTAATGATAGTCAAAAAATTGCTTTTCTACTTTTAAAGATATTTTGACACAAGAAAACAACTAGATTTCATTAGTAATCAAATTTTGAAATCCCAGAATTGATCTCTCAATTCTGATCACAGTTCTTGATTTCAGCCTTTATCTCTTACTTGATTTTCCTTTGATAAGAGGAATGTAGCCCTCTTAGCTATGGCCAGGATGGAAAGAATCTAACAATGCTTTAAATACCTGCTGCTTAAAAGATGATGACTATTTTAAATATGGGGGAAAACCTTGGTACCATTCAATAAATACTGTAATGACAAATAAAAGTAAAATCAATTACCTTAATAATGAATGACTACTTCAGAAAAACAAAATAAAAGCAGTGTACATCCTCAAGACACTGGCCAAGATTTTAAAAATGTACAAAAACTTTTCATTGGTAGTCACAATTATTGGGGACTATCATTAGAACAAAAAGGTCAGAACACTAGAGAAATTATATGGTTATTGATGTAACATTGCAGGACTAAGAATAATGAGGATAAGAACTGAGTAAAGAGCAAGCAGGCAAAGCCTGAGCATACTCAGATTGTCAGACTGATCACATTTTACAAATCCACAGCACAGCAAGAGAAGAACCATGGCCTCAAAGCAAAGGGTAAAATTACCGCACAAAACTCCTGTGCAAGGACAGGGCACCATGAAAAGAAAGATCCCGCCTGTTGTCAGATTCAATCTTCTCTAAAAGCTCCATGAAGGAATCTAATGAGAAAAAAAAGAAAGAAAGAAAGAAAGAAAGAAAGAAAGAAAGAAAGAAAGAAAGAAAGAAAGAAAGAAAGAAAGAAAGAAAGAAAGGAGAACCCACTGGCAAACCACTCCAACAGGTATGTACCACCATGCCTGACTCAGTTTTGTATTTCAAAAGTATTTCAATTTTTTTTGTGGTCTGTGTTTAGTCAAATGTACTCTAGAAAGCTAGTATTAAAATACTAGGTATATGTTAAATCAAACAATATATGTCCACAAAATCAGCCATTCAGAGAATACTTGAAGCAAATACAAAGAATGGACAAAGGGACTATACTCAAAGGCAACAGAAAGAAACTAAATGAAGTTATAATTGTGGAAACACAAAATCAGACAAAGAATACAAACAGAAATTAAAATGATGGCAACCAATACACATCTAACAATAATAACTTCAAATATCGATAGACTGAACTCCCCAGTCAAAATACACAGGCTGGTTGAATGTACCAAGAAACAAAATCCATCCTTGTGTTGTCTGCAAGAAACTTATCTCATGTTCAAGGACAGGCACTGCATTAAGGTGAAAGGTTGAAAAGGAATATTCCAAACAAATGGAACTAAGAAACAAGCAGGGGTTGCAATTCTAATAGCTGATAAAATAGACATTAAACTAAAACTACTCAGAAGAGATAAAGAGGATCATTTCATTCTAATCAAAAGAACAGCTGACCAAGAGGATATTATAATGATGAATACATATGCAACAAAATCTGGTGCACCCAATTTTATAAAAACAGTACTACAGGACTTTAATACACAGATTAACCCAACTCAGTACTAGTAGGGGACTTTAATGCCCCACTGTCTCCATTAGACAGGTCAACTGGACATCTGAATTAAATGATACCATACATCAAATGAAATGAATGGACATCTACCAAATATTCTACCCAAGCACCAAAGAATACACTTTCTATTCAGCACCCCATGGAACTTTCTCTAAAACTGACTACATACTGGGCACAAAACAAAACTCAACAAATACAAAAATTGAAATAATTCCATGCATTCTATCACACCACAATGCAATAAAGCTTAAAATCAATACTAAAAGAAGCCCTAGGAACTACATGAACTCATTGAATCTAAGAACAGGTACTTTGCAAAGTTAAACAACGTAGACAGACCCTTAGCCCAGTTAACCAAAAGAAAGAAAGAACAAATCCAAATCAATAAAATCAGAGACCAAAAAGATCCAGATACCAAAAAGATCTATAACATTATAAGGGAATACTTTAGAAACCTATACTCTACTGAATTTGAAAACCTGAAAGAAATGGATGGATATCTAAAACCATGGGAAACACCAAAGCTAAACCAAGAAGACATCAACAGTTTAAACAGACCCAAAACACATGGAAATTGAAACAGTAATACAAAACCTCCTGTGCTGGATAGGTGTGTCAACTTGACACACCTGGGTTGAGGGAGCCTGTTGGGGAATTGCCTCCATTGGACTGGCCTGTGGCCCTATCTATGGATGTTTTCTTAATTGTTGAGTGATTTGTGAGGCCCACACCCCTGTGGGTGGTGCCATGCCTGGTCAGGTTGTCCTGTGTTATATAAGAAAGCAGGCTGAGCATGGGCCAGGGGAGCAAGCCAGTAAGCAGAGTTCCTCCATGGCCTGTTCTCTAACTCCTGGCTCCAGGTTCCCAGCCTGAGCTCCCTCAGTGATGAACTGAGAGCCAAGACATGTAAGATAAAATAAACCCTTTCCTTCCCAAGTTGGTATTGGTCAGACTGTTTTGTAATGGCAATAGAAAAACAAACTAGAACAACTCCCTACTGAAAAAAGCCCAGGCCCAGGTGGACTTACAACAGAACATTTAAACCAGACATTTAAAGATCTATAACCAATACTACTTATATTATTCAAAAAGATAGAAACCGAGAGTGAACTCCAAAATTCCTTCTATGAAGCCATCATCATTTTAATATGATAACCAAGTAAAGATATAACCAAAAAAAGAAGACTATAAACACATATCCATAATGAACATAGAGGTCAAAAATCTCCACAAGATACTTGCAACCTGTTCCCTGGGCCTGCATAACCCGCAGGCCTAACTCTCCTTGGTAAGTCAATCGTGCCCTCTATGCCTTGACTCCCCCAGCCACATTCACCTTCCCATCTGCCCCACAGGTCTCTCCTCCTAGTCTGGGTCCTGTCCCATTCCTTGTATTGGTGCCCCGGACACCTGGGGAACCACCACTGCTTCCTGAACCTTTGCCTCCAGACCAACACAGTTCCTTCTTGGGTCCCCAGAAGGACTCTGGGTCTGGCCCCACCGTCACCTCACTCTACTCCCCTGGGCCTGCATGACCTTCCAGCCTCTTTCCTTGATGCCAGGGCTGACTTTTCCTCTTCCTGGTCCTTTGCATGCAGACCAACCCATCTCCTCAGTGCAGTCCCCAGGAGCCCTTGGGGCACTTCCCACCCCATCTTCCTTTGCATCTCTGGGTGGCATGGCTACCAGTTGCCCTAGACCAGCATCATTCCTGGGCAGTGCTCCCAAGCCAGTCCAACAGGATTCAATACTCATCTTTCATTAATAACTTTAAATATTAACGGACTGAAATCCCCAGTCAAAAGACACAGGCTTTGAGAATAGATTAAGAAACAAAATATTGTTGTCTGCAAGAAACTCATATCACTTTCAAGGACAGACACTATCTCAAAGTGAAAGGATGGAAAAAAAATATACCAAGCAAATCGCACTAAGAAAAAAGGAGGTGTAGCAATCCTAATATCTGACAAAATAGACTTTAAACTAAAACTAATTAGAAGAGACAAAGAGGGCCACTTCATTCTGATCAAAGGAACAATGAATCAAGAAGTTATTACAATCATGAACATATATTCACCAAACTCAGGTGCAACCAACTTCATACAAACAACACTACAGGACTTTAAGATTCAGATTAACACAAGCTCATTAATAGTATGGGACGTCAATACCCCGCTGTCTCCATTAGATAGGTCAACAGGTCAGAGAGTTAACAGAGAGACATCTGAATTAAACAATGCCATATAGCAAAGGGACTTAAGAGACGTCTACCGAGTATTCCACCCAAGCAAAAAAGGACATAATTTCTACTCAGCACCCCATTGAACCTTCTCCAAAATCGACCATATACTGGGGCACAAAACAAAGCTCAGCAAATATAAAAAAGATTGAAATAATTCCATGTGTTCTATCAGACCACAATGCAATAAAGCTTACAATCAACACCCGAAGAAGCCAAAATCAC